TCCCAATCCTGCAGGAATGTGCTACAGTGCGTTCCAGAGGCTGACCCTTCTGGAACGCACTGTTTATGGTGTGAACTCGCCCGCAGTGTGTGATGGGCCATATTTGTGTTCCCTCCTGGTTTTGTTATATTAGTTGGATATATTTTTCTATATTAGTTCATCATTTTTCCCTTTTTGTCTTTTTGTTTATTTTAGAACGACACATGAGACTGAAATATATATTATTGTAGAGGTTTTGTAGAGGTTTTTTTTAGCAATTAAATGGCATTTCCAACCTTTGCGGAAAATAATAATAAATAAATGTTAACATTTATTCATGAAACGAAAATGTGCATTTTTTCCCCCATAAGAGCCAGGGAAGCATTGCAACCGCAATCAGTAGATTGTTGGCGCAATGCTGGGGCAGCGGCATCCCAAGGCAGTAGGGATGCACCAATAACGTTTTTTCATGGTGATCAGATGATGAGGGAGCATGAAGCCAGCTTTCTGGCCAATCAGAAAGCTGGGGCGCGTGTAATAACTCGCCTTCCAGCTTCCTGACTGGCCAGTTTCCTGACCAATCAGGAAGCTTGGCAGCAGGTAACAACTTGCTGCCCATCCTCCTGATACCGGAAGCTTAAGTATTGGGCTAGGCATCAGAGCATTTGGGCGAGTATGAGTACTCACCCAAATACTCGGCATCGGCACCAACACTGGTATCGGTGCATCCCTACAAAGCAATGTGTCATTCGGAGCGGGTACCAGGTGACACCCCACAGTGATGCCATTGCACATGTACATCATCACGCACTGTTACGTGACAGCGGCCATCTTGGTGATGGATGCCGGCAGAGAGAGAAGGGGATATTCACCCGGGGGGATGAGGTATGCCGCCGGGTCCCCTCCTCTCTCCTGACACTGTCGGCTCTCTGTCGATGACCGAGTGCCCGGCTTTTCAGAGGGGGTGACAGCAAAATGACTGTCAGTCATTTTGCTGTCACCCCACCAATGGTGTCACCCGGGTGTGACACCACACCCGCTCATGTAAGGTGTGTGCCCAGCAAAAAGGTACACCCACACCCCCCTAGTGACACCACTCTGCTCTCCGGTTCCCTGTTTTTGTTATCAATCAAAGTTTGTGTTATTATTGTATCACGATCCTATAGCTAAGTGATCATTTTCACTTATAACACTTTTTTTTTTTTTACTTACTTACTTAGTAACACTTTTTATTTATGAATTGTACATTCGGACCCACTGAAAGCTGTCATGTTATGTATTTTTTTCTATTCATTATATACTTATAATGTGAAACTCTACATAATAATCATTTATTCATTCTTTTGGGGTTATTTGGAGCCCTGATGAAGGGGGAATGCTTTGGCCCCTGAAAAGCATTAGATTGTAAATAAACTCTTCTACTTGATCTTGCATTGGAATAAATTTGCATCTGGACTGTTATCTTGTGTCTTGGTACTTCATTCTCAGATTTACATAGGTGGGGGAGCTCAGACAGGAGGTGTCTGTGTCCATCCCAGGACTGCTGATCCCTGCACAAAACAAAAAAGCACAGACCCCTCTGCGGGCATAACCACAGAGGTGCAGCCCCCAGCAATCTATTTCCAAATTTAATTCATGCCAACTTGCTAGCAAAGATGTGACCCATTCTTGACCAACCTGTCCGCCCATCTCTGGTTCCATACGCCTATCCCCCCCACCATTCTGTCAACACTCCAAAGTGAGGCGTGATGCCCCATCACCAACCCCACAGCATGAGCGTCCACCTTAGTTGGGTATCCTAACAATGTATTTTGTCCTATGATGTGGTGATGTGGTGGTGGTGGTGGTGGTGGGGGATACTGTCAGGCGGGGCTGCATGGTGCCCCATGATTTCTAAAGGCTGCCCGACTGAGCCTCCATGATTGCACAAACTGCAATCCAATGAATGGAAGGGGTGCACCAAGCTGGGGAGGAAAGGCTAGATGATGCTGGACAACCTCCAGCCAGGAAATGAGGAAGGTTGTATCTGACCTGCTGCAGCTTCTAATGCACACAATGCTCAGTAAGCTGGGCAGGATGCGGGACAGACCCGTTGACAACACGGCATCCACCTCACAGACCCTCCCCCCCCTTCAAG